AGATGGAGACCGAGACGGGGAGGCACCGCTTTTGTCAGCGCCGTGAGGGGTCAGGAGGAGTGCGTTTCTAAAAACAGCTTTTCTTTCCCCGCCCGTGTGCCCCCGCCCAGGTGCGCGATACCACGCCATGGAGGAGCGCGCCAACCTCATGAACATGATGAAGCTCAGTATCAAAATCCTGATCCAGGCGGCCCTGAGCCTGGGCCGGACCCTGGACTCCGACTTCCCTCCCTTGCAGCAGTTCTTCGTGGTGCTGGAGCACTGCCTCAAGCACGGGCTGAAAGGTGGGCGCCCGCTCCCCCGCGGCCGGTCCGGCCGCCTCGCTGAGGAGAGGCAGATAAAACGAGTCTGTGTCGTGTCTCGCTGTGTCTCCAGTTTGACTTCTGTAGGACGTTAATATTAATCACATACACCGTATGATGCTAATCAGTATTACAGATATACCTATGCGGTTACCTTCTGATACGCCCTGTATTTTGTGCCTTCTAAACTGTCAAGGTGTTTTTAATGCCCCCTTTTCATTGACATATTAGGAGCTGGTAAGACAAAGTAAAACGTAGACTAAAATTTGTGATTCTGGAGTTGGGAGCCTGTCACTTTTCCTCACAAACTTCTCTGTATACTCCCTTTAGTGAAGAAGACTTTTATTGGACAGAACAAATCATTTTTTGGTCCTTTGGAGCTAGTGGAAAAACTTTGTCCTGAAGCATCAGATATAGCAACTAGTGTTAAAAATCTGCCAGAGTTGAAGTAAGTTGATTGTTGGGGATGGTGCATTTCACTTACACTGCTGGGAAAAAGACTCCTTCCTGTAGTCTGTCGCCTTCCTTAATGAGATCTTGTTCCCAAAGAGAAAAACAGTGTACGCGGGAGGCATCGACTTCTCCAAGAGCTAAGGAGGACATCTCAAAATACTCTGTGCTTTTGATTCAAACAGTGCTGTCAGATTAACAAACAGCATTTGGAAATTTCTATAAGCTTGGTAGAAAATATCTGTGAAGACTCTGCAGTTATTTTTTTCTTCTTCTTTCCTTCACTTTTATGGCTTTGTCTAATTTTGTGCATGTGCTAGGAGTATTTCATTTGGGTAGTTCAGGATGATGAAAAGAGACTAGTTTTAATGCTAGGATGCATCAATAGTTGGGTTATGGTGGTAGTTGAAAATATGTATGTCTTTCCAAGTTAGGAAGATTTTACAATATACTTTCTGTTCACTGAAGCAATGGGATTTACTCAAATGCTTCTGTGTTCTGGAGGGAACACTTTGTAAAGGGAGAATTTTGAATTGTATAAGTCTCGTTAATAAACCATTTTGTTTTTACCAAAACATGCAACTTTTCATTTTAGGACTGCTGTAGGAAGAGGAAGGGCTTGGCTTTATCTAGCACTCATGCAAAAGAAACTGGCAGATTATCTCAAAGTACTCTTGGACCATAAGCATCTATTAAGGTAACAGTACAGACATATGTAGATTGTATTCACTGAATCACTGAAACCTTGCATTGCTGTAGTAAGAGGTCATTAATTGACCATTTTAAGCTTTTTCTTGCAACCTGCAGAGGAGCAAGTTGTTCATTGTTTTTGCAGTGAACCTGCAAAGGAACAAGTAAGGTATTTTCTGTGAGAGCTCTGCGTCTTCCACCTTGTGCAATAAATTAGCAAAGAGGGTGCTTTATAAGGACTACGTTACTATTTATATTATTTCAGTGATGGAAGCACCATTATAATTGTTATGATGTGCAGTGATGCCTTATAATATTTCTTCCAGTGAATTTTATGAACCTGATGCGTTGATGATGGAGGAGGAAGGAGCAGTCATTGTGGGTCTGCTAGTTGGACTGAACGTTATTGATGCAAACCTTTGCTTGAAAGGAGAAGACTTGGACTCCCAGGTGATGATTAAAGCTTAAACAAGATCAGTCTGTAGAAGATTCCAGTAGAACATCTACAGAACAGTTATACACATCCACAAATACTTTACTGAGATGGGTCCAGAATTCTTAAATGTGGTATGCAGCCAGGGTTTGCCATTGTTTTCATAAGCGGGCATTTGAATGTGTTATGATAAATCAAAAATTGGACGAACTGAGCTAATTACAAGAGATACATTGTCAAGATCAATCTGCTAGGGACTTATGGGAGCTTATGTTTTGAGGGGGAATGGTGGTTTCCTTTTGGCTTTGGTGTGTGTGGGCGGGGTGATGTCACATACCTCTGCTGCTTTAATGAAACAGCCCAGGAGTATAAGGAATGTTTTGAGGTATTTGAGGTCCAAACAAATAAATGCCTTACATGAATCTGTGCTTAACTTACTGTGAGTGTCTTGTAATTTGAGGCCATGTCCTCTTTCAGCCAATCTGGTTTACTTTTGAATTAGGTAAACTTTGACAAAATGGGTCAATAGCATTGCAGAAGTCTAACTCTGTTTCTAAGCTGTAAATTAAAAATATATGTTGCTATAATTTTATTATTATTAACTTTTTTTGTTCTTTAAAAGATAATGTTGCAGAAAATAATGTTGACATTATCCTGCCTGTTCTACAAATTATGAACATGGCTAACTATTAATGTCTTTATAAGAACTCAAAGAATTGCTTAAATGTCATATTTCCATAAGATACTGTTTGTTTTTAGAAAGCACGATTTAAGTTCTTTTTCTGGGTTGTTTTTTTTTTGGGGGGGGGGAGTGCAGGAATGTCCAATGTGGAAGCTTGTCATGTTTCCCACATTGAATCAAAACAAAGTACATAAGTATCCATCTCTTTAAGTAGCAGTTTATGGAAATGCTGTCAAAACAAATAACTGCTAGAAACTGAGCACACTGAATGTGGTTATTTTGATGCTTTTACAACAAACACTAGCTTGTACGTTTGCTTCAGCTGGGAAGAATATAGGTATTATCTGTCTTTCTAAACTTAAACTTCAGATATTTACCTTTTTCCAAATATAAAGTAATGCCTGCTGCTACACAGAATTGCACTGTGAAGGTGTGTTGATGTCTTAAATATATTTTTCAGGTTGGAGTGATTGATTTTTCCTTGTACCTTAAGGAAACGCAGGACAGTGATGGCAAACAGTACGTATGGTGAATTAGTGATTATAAATTGTTACATTTTTTGTAGAACAAACCTGTCAGTCTGTGGGAGCACATGAGTGCTAGAGATCTTAAACTCTTCTAATCATCCAAAAAAAAGAATTCAAAATAGATTTTGTTAGCTAAACAAAAGTGCTAACTTTCAAAGGTTGAGCCCATGGTAGTTTTACTAATACAGCGTTGGAGAGTTTGTGTCTTGAGCTGGGACCAAATTAAAAGCACCCAAAACTTCAGGATGTGTTTTTATTGGGTTTTAGGAGACATGATCTGCGAGGTCACCCACTACTAAATCACTGCTTTGTTTTTAAGCACTGTTTCAGAAACGCTCTCAATTAAGTAGCTGTCTTTGTGGGAGAGATCAGTTATGGAGGAAAAAAAGTACTTTTAGGTGAAATGTTAGGTGAAGTAGAGACTGCAACTGTTAGCATCGCTGTATCTAGAAGACCTGAAGTGAATGGAGGGACTTGATAGTTTGTGTGCTTCCAGCGCTTCAGAGCACTTTACTGTTCAGCTGCTGAGGAGAAGCAGCTGAACAGCTGCTTCATCTCCCTAGTGCTTCCAGTCTAGCTCGGGCACAAGTATTTTTATAAGAAAAGGAGAAAAGGTTTCAACGTGCTTCCAGTCTAGCTCGGGCACAAGTATATAAGAAAAGGAGAAAAGGTTTCAATGCAGTTTGCAAGTCTATGCTGAAAACTCTACTACAAACTAACACTTTAGAATGAAGGAGTTTCTTCTCAATCAATAAATTCTCACTTTTACAACTAGAGATGGAGGGATTACGGCTGTCCTTGACCAGAAGCATTATGTGGAGGAACTTAACCGACATCTAAGGTGGGATTTTCATCTATTCTAATGTACAGACACTTGTCCTGTTTAGCTTTTCCAGTATGGCTTTGAATGTCTCTGCTGTCAGTCTTGTAGATTTTTGTCTGATATTGCCTTTTCTGATTGGTTTCCCAAAATCTTAGTTTCATTGTAACCTTAAGCTGTCAGTCTTGTAGATTTTTGTCTGATACTGAAATGCCTTTTCTGATTCTTTCCCAAAATCTTAGTTTCATTTTGTAACCTTAATTATTGTAACCTCTTCTGATGGCATATGCAATGCAGAAAACAAGTCTGTGTAATAACAGTTGACTTTTTTGGGGACTTACTAGTGATTAACAGAAGATTTTGGAGATACTTTTTCAAGAGAAAACTATTACAAGTGCATCTGGAAATTCATTCCTTAGAGGAACAGTCTCTGTTCTCCCCCCATAGGTTGCTCAGTGGGAGGAGCCAGCCTCACTTACCCTCTTGAACATCAGAGAGGTGTTGAGACTGCAAAAGCTAAGCCAGAACAGGGCTGCCAACTAATACAGTAGGCTGCCAACTGTAGGCAAATGCATGGTCCTCTCAGAGCTTAAGAGAGACAATTGTCCTTCCTCTGGGTTTTTGCCAGCTCACCAAATTATTTCGTTGTTAACAAATACAAAATGGTAAAAGTATGGTTGAGGATAGGAATAAATGTTGAACATTGGCACTACTTGTACTGTTTTTATGCGTCTCTTTCCTTGCTGCAGTTGCACAGTTGCAGATCTTCAGAACAAAATAGACTGTTTAGAAAAGACCAATTCAAAACTCCAGGAAGAGGTTTGTGTCTGGCCTGTTAAATATTTCTCATAGCTCTTTTCCATCACAGGCAAAACTCCCTAAGAACATACCTTAGGACCTAAAATATTTGAGTTGATACTAGTGAAATGTGGGGGAGTGGTAGGACTGTCATGAGTTGGCTCATGGGGAAAGCTCTGTGGAAAGCTTCTACATTATGTTAGCTGTTAAAATGCTTTTGGGCACCTATTTGTTAGATGGGTTTCCTTAATCAAGTTTTTTGTCTTGCACTGGTGTCTCCACCCAAAAGTAATCATACCACTATAACGAACATGACTTGTCCCTCTTCCTTTTGCACATATACGTGTGTATGTATAAAAGAGAAGGAAAAGAATCACATTTCAATTAGGAAATCTTTCCTAGCTGGGAACTGAAATAGAAGCCAGCAGCATGCATGATAGTGGTTGTTTTGGGTTTTGTGGTGGTGGGTTAGAGTGTATCTGTGTAGTCCAATTTCCAATACTTTTTGGGGTATCTCCACTTGAAAATGCCATAAGGTTCCGCCAGTGAATGTCAACCCTGACTTGCTATATGACTGCTAGTTCATACCAGAATGGATACTACAGATCACAGATCTGTGGTGGATTGTAGCCTTCTACGCTAGGATGCATGTCTTTGCACAGTTAATATTTAAAAATAATTGATGAGGGCGTGAAGCAGAAGTCAAGTGAACAAATGTTGGTGGGCTTATTAATTTAGGCTGTACAGCGAGTATGGCTGCAAAAGGGTTGGGCAGCTTCTGTGGAGAATGAAAGGGACAAAAGGGGAAGTGAGCAGCGCACCTGCTACAAAGGCTGAGCTACTAACTTTAGAATTCCTCCAGATGTTGCATGCTTGTGCAGTGATTAAATATAGATATGTTCTCTTTGTAAACAGCTTGCAGCAGCAACTGACCGGATTGGATCACTTCAGGAAGAGCAGCAGCAGTTAAAACAACAAAATGAATTAATTCGTGAACGGAGTGAAAAAAGCGTAGAGGTGGGACACCTATTTAAAGATGATGAGGATCCTTAAAATAAGTGATCTCTCTTGATGGACTGTAGTTAGCGCTCTCAAAAGCACTTTGAACGGGAATGCTAAGCACAGTTTAGCATGCTACTGTGTAGGTCACTTTCTGTGTATAGTATGCACAGGTGTTAGATTTTGCTGTTCTTCACTACACACTTAAACATACACTTGCAGAAGGGAGAAAGCATGAAAAGTATTAGAATGGTTTCTTTTTATTTTTGCTCTATTCTTTGAAATTTCAGCTTATTAACATTTGCCAGCTTATTAATTGTAAAACAGTAGGATTTTACTTGAAATAGCATAAAGAAATACTGTGTTACGCACAACAACTTAAGGCATACTTTAAATACATAGCTTTGTGATCTTATGTGGCTTTTTTGCTGATGTTTCTTGTAGGTAACAAAAGAGGATACAAAAGTAGAATTGGATACTTACAAGCAGTCACGCCAGGGTCTTGATGAAATGTACAGTGATGTTTGGAAGCAGTTGAAAGAAGAAAAAAAAATTAGGCTGGTAAGAAAACTTAACTATAGAAAATGAAATGAAAGATACAGGATTCTGCATACTTTAAGGTAGCATTACAAATATAAGATGTATGCTGTGCACTTTTTGCAGCTATTCAGAATTCATAAATGAATTGCAAGCAAGACGCTGGACACTGATTGTTAACAGTGTCTGTAAAGAACTGGAAGTCAGGGCTTTTGGAATGCTGAAAATAAAAGGTCTTCCCCTGTTTAAGAACCTACGAGCATTATTATAGCAGAGACTAAGATCAAAACACAATGAGAGGCAACTGTCTTTATGGAGGAAAATACGGTATATGCACACTTGCACAGTGAACTGCTAATTAGTGACTGGTGAAGAGGCTGCCCAGGCTTGCTGAAGCCTACGGCTCTAAGTCAACAGCTGCCAGGAGAAATGCTTCATTTGACAGGCTGCTAAGTTGCACGCTGAGCTCTACGCTTCATGCCAGCCGATCTGCACCCTTGCCCTGATCTGGAGAGCTGAAATAGTATTTTGGTCTAACTAACTTAATGTATTATTTGAGACCTAACTCTTCTGTAAAATCATAGTTCAGTATTATCTCAGAGTAATACATAGTTTGTGTATGGGGTTATATGGGGTTTGGAATTGCTTATCCCTGACATATGACTACATAGCAGTAACTAGGAAATCTCTTTGTAAGGAACTAGAGAAAGAGTTGGAGCTACAAATTGGAATGAAAACAGAAATGGAAATTGCCATGAAACTTCTGGAAAAAGATACTCACGAAAAACAAGACACTTTAGTTGCACTTCGCCAACAGTTAGAAGAAGTGAAGGCTATTAACTTGCAGATGTTTCACAAATCTCAGGTATGTACACAGAGGAGAACAGACAGAACAGCTGTACGGGGGGGTCTTTATACATTAATTGTGCACTGGGGATGCATATGCACTTATATGTGTCTGAAGTAATACTTAGATGCAACAATTTTCTTAAGACTATCTATTTTAAAACCGTTTAATTTTTTTATTATGCTTCATTATTGGTATTACATTGAGTATGTCTGGAAAGAAAGGGGGTTTCCTTGAGTATGCTGCGTAGCGTGCCACAGGATCATCCAGCAAATGCTGAGACAAATGGAGAGCTCTCACAGGGGAGAGGGTGTATGCAAGGGTCCTTTGTTCTAACTACTGAATGATTAGTCTTTTAAAAAAATTACTTCGTGCAGCCAAGAACTGTCTTGCTTCTCCTTCCCATCTGTGTTGTCTTGCCTTTCACCTGCACCACATTTAACATTGTTTACCGTAAAAAACCAACGAGCCTCTCTAAACCAATAGAAAACTATCAGTTGTTTTTGTCTATCTCCTGTAGTCTGTACTCAAATGGTCAGCTGAGTGCTATAGCTGGTGGAAAGGCAAGGCCGGATTTGGGGAGGGAGGAACTCTGTGGTCAGGCTGGCCTCTGGAGCTACCAAAAAGTTGTTGGATTGGTTTAGGTATTTTGTTATACCCCCTTTAGCATAAGACCTGACTCTCCAGAGGTAAGATGGTTAGAGAAGTAAAATGAAAAACATTTTGCTTTCTGGGCCTGTCTTCCTTCCTCAGTCTCTTCCCTACCCTGGCAGTTTTTAGAGTTTACTTTCTCCATCCTTTGTGTCATATCTATTGCAGGGGGTTGGGGATGTTTTTGTGTTTTGTTTTGTTGTTGTTGTTTGGGTGGATTGTGGCATTTTGTCTTGTGTTTTTTCAATTGGACAAAAAATATACTGATAGGCATTTCTACGAGGAAGTGATGGAGTAGTAGTGTTCACACAAAATATACAGAGCTTGTCTCCATTAATGAAATACGAGTTTAACTAGTCTTCCCCTCCATACCCGGTGCCAGAAATCCAGAGGGGATTTCTCTCAATTTTTACAGATTGTTTCCTGGTGCCTGTTCAGGCTTTATCCAGGCCTTTGCCTCCTTCACAGATGCACAGAAACTTGCAAGGCAATGGCCAGTGAAACCCCAGTGCTGAGCTATGCCTTTGCTTTCAAAAGCAGTTATTTATTTTGTAGTTCTTTTGGCTTTCTGGTTCCATGCCCACTGAGTGCAGTTGTTATGTTCAAATCATAATTGATATTCTTATCCTGTCAGTTTAATCTGATAATTTCTTTCTTCAAGCTCATTTCTAAAGAGAAGATTTTTGGCTTGTAGCTGATCTCATAGGCCAAAACTTAGTACAGTTAAGTTTGTTTCTGAGCTCTTAACAAAACAACTTGAGGAGTGTCTGCTCTGGCATTATCAGCATTTTGTTTGGACATTCCAGTTAGAGCCAGGCATCGCCTGTAACAAGCTAAACATTCTTTATCTAGCGGCAGACTTTCATTAAACACTAACGCTTTGTGCTTCAGAAAACTAAAATATATTACCTGGAATATCTATTCACTTATTCCTACAGAATGCAGAGTGTTCATTACAACAGAAAACAGAAGCAATATCCTCTTTTGAAGGAAAAACAAATGAGATGATGTCTTCTATGAAACAAATGGAAGAGAGGTAATAATTACAAGCTCAAGAAGTCAGCACTTGAAATCAGTAGAAAGTTTCCAGCTGAAACCTTTATAGGATGACCTTCCATACACCTCCTAGAGACATTTGGGCATGCGTGCCAGCATGACGTTCTTTTTCCTTTCTCCTCCTTATCACCCTCTGCCCTTGCCTGTTCTCTTTTCCCAGGCAAACATGCCCATTCGAAAACCATAGCTCTTTCCATAGGCAGGCTGTTTAAAAACATGTTGACTTTAGTTTAAGAACAGGTGTGACTCTCGCTTTTGGGGTTTGGGAGTTTTTTTTTCCCCAGAAGAAACAGTTGCTTTCAAAAGTCTTTTTTTTTTTTTTTCCCCTCTCCACTAGGAATTTCAATTCAAGCTTTTGTAAAGTTCTGTATGGTAAATCTAAAAGAACAAAATGAGGGGGTGTAGGTAAGGAATATATGAATTGACAACAAATATACATGTTCCTTACTTTGTAGATTGCAGCATGCAGAAAAGGCAAGGCAGGCTGCGGAAGAACGATGCAACAAGATGAAGCAAGAGCTTGCTGGCAGGCTTGACACTTGTCGGCAACAGATGTCCCAACTGGATAGCAAATGGTATTTAATCTGATCAGGTTTTTTTTCTTCCCTTCTGCCATTTCTTTAAGAAGTGCTTTCTGCTCCTTCTGTGTTAAGGTCTAAAGAGGGGTAGGTTTGAATTATATTGGGTTCAGCAAGTGTTGACAGAAGTATGCAAGGTCTAGGAAAGCACAGTGCTTCTGTCTCGTGCACAGTTAGCATGAGGGTTTCGAAATGCTTTTTCCAGAACATCCAGTTTAGAGCACAGAGTGCCAGTAGAAATCTGGCCGTTCTGACTAGCAATGGAGCTTTCAATTGCTTTTTTACTAAATCAGGAGATAGATACGGTCATGCTTGTAGGCTGAGCATGTAAGTGACTGTCACCTAAATGGATTGCGGTTTTTGGAGGGGTTTGGGGGTTGAGGAGTGTCCTGGTGTTCTTCGGGAATGTTAATCCTCTAAAGATTTCTAATACCTATAGAAAATGCTTCTTTCACTGTTCAGACTTCAGGGTAGATTGTCACTTTTAAACATGGCTGTTTAAACACAGGTAGTCAAATATGTACTTGTGGGGATTGGGTTTGGTATTTTGGTTTTGGGTTGTTTGGGTTTTTTTTCTTTTTTCTTCTAGCCATTTATTGCTGCTGTTTTCTGTGACCTGAAAATGCTAATATAGTTTTTGATGTCTGCTGCCGTAACATCCCTGTTCTTTCCTTTCCCAGAACACCACTCTAGTTTTTGTCCTCTTTTGGACAAGGTTTCTTCTTCTCATATTGTTGCTGTCCTTAAGTGCTATAGGATATTTTTCTGCTTTAGGGTTTCTTAGAATGACTTATTTTTAAATAGCTCAACTCTGGAAAAGGAGTTAAAATCTGAAAAGGAACAGAGACAAACTTTGCAAAGAGAACTACACCAAGAGAAGGATGCTACCACTCTGCTTAAAACAGAATTGCAGCAAATGGAAGGACTGAAAAAGGTACGCACAGTGCAAACATGCCCAGTGTTCAGGATTAAAGCTGACTTGAGAACCAGTGCAATGTTTGCCTCTGCAGTGGAGTAAATTCTTCTGTACCACTCTCCTCCTCTGAGTGGTTTCAAAAGCTTGGCTGACATAATGCAAGTCTGCACATGAAGTGCCAAGAGAAGGATGGCACTTCCCCCGTGTAGGGCTCAGGCAATGAAAACAGCTTAGCTGGAGGTGGCTGAGGAGGCTTCTATCTGCCCTGCCTTAGCCGCGCGAGTGCCTGAGCCACTCAGCAGTCAGCAGCTGAAGCTGAGGTGGGATAGCTGGGGACAAAAAGCTCATCAGCTGTCCCATGGCGAGATACCCCTGCTCAGGGAGGAAATGGCAAGTTCAGAGCCTTCAGCGACTGTGTGAAGGCTTTCAACTGTATGTAATAAAATAAGAACCCGTTTTCAAGCATTCAGAACGACTGAATGTGATTTATCTTTTACGCACGCACATTCTTATTAATCTAAAGAGAGTTTGCTCCTGTGTATCGAGCAGTTTAGATTTTGAAGGCACAATTGTACACCAGTATCTGTCTATAGGCTCGTGTGGGCATGGGACTGCTGCATTCTAGCTATGTTCAAGGATGTTTAAAGCCTGAAAATCTTCCTGTCTTTCTGGTAAATATGGTTAAATGATTTCAGATTTTGTGCTCTACGAGAATCCATGGGTAGTTCACTCATGTAATTCTAAAAATCAAGCCTTTGAAATAGGTAGCTTTGTAAAGGAGCTTATTTTTGTGAACTGCTTGGGTAGTTTGGATAGACTGTCTGATCTAGGTTATAGGTCAAACCTAGCACACAAAAAACTTGATTTTGTGCTTAATTTTATAGGAACTGAGAAAACTGCAAGATGAGAAGCAGCAGTTAGAGAAAGTCTGTGAGGAGCAGGAGCAAGCTCTTCAAGAAATGGGACTTCATCTCAGCCAGTAAGTTCTAGGAACTGAACTCCTGTAAGTGACGTAACCTGGAGGATGGAGTACCAAACTAAAACAAATAGTTTTAAAATGCATCCAGTTATAAAAATCAATAAACATGAGAATTTTAGGAGGCCATTACTACGCATGGGAAACTAAACAGCCATGAAATAAAAGCAGGGGAAGATCCTTGCACGAGTAAGCTGGCTGAGACCGGAAAAAATACAGTAAATGCTTAGTTCTTACAGTGGAACTGTGCTTCTCCCACATTCTTCTGAATATACTTGAAAAGGGGGCAAACCCCAAGGTGACAAAGCTTCCTGGTGATACTGGGCAGTTCAGAGTTGTAACGGGGAGCTGACTGAAGAATTTAGAGTTTAGATTCAGTGGCTGGACGGTGGAATGGCAGGTAAAACTGAACACAACTAAATGTGAAGTCATGCAGAGGGAATTTTTTTTTTTTTTTCCCCCCCAGATCAAAGTTGAAGATGGAAGATATTAAAGAAGTAAATAAAGCGCTAAAGGTACTCTACATCTCATGGATGTTTTGACTAAGCATATGCATTTCATTTAACACCTTCAAATTTCACCACGGTTATCTGACTTTAAAAGGTGGCTTTTGAAAAATACCAACAAGGTTGGTAAACTGCCTTTGAATTTTATTTTATAAATTTATTTGTCTCTACAGTGACGTTTTCATTCCAATTTTCTAGGGTCATACCTGGCTGAAGGATGATGAAGCAACACACTGCAAGCAATGTGAAAAGGAATTCTCTATCTCGAGAAGGAAGGTAGTGGTGTTCAGTGGATTTTTTTTTTTTCCTTTTTTGCACATCAAAACAAAAATTGTGCTGTTGCATAGTTCGCTAGGGAAGACCCGACACTGCTTCAATTCCAGACCGTGTCGGCATGATAACTACGTAGAGAAGTAATTTGGTATTTCCCATCCTAAAAATAATGTTCTTCTGCTTGGGCCCTTTCCTTGGTGGGGAGCTGTGACAGGCTGTGTTCTCTCGTGATGCGGTTCATCTCCCTTCCCTGTTGACCTGTGTGCAGTGAGGACCGGAGGCTGACAGGCCGTGCTGTGCCTTTCAGCCGCAGGGGACTGCTGCCGGGGTCCTGCTCGGTGGTTTGGGACAGCGCACTGTGCCTGCACGGGGCGCCTGGCAGGCACTGGTGCCCCAGGCACTTTCCTCTGCGTAGAGCCGGGCCTGCGTGCGCTTTCCCGAAAGCCTGGGCCTGGCTGTGTGGCGATCCACGCAGGGCGTGCCGGAGAGCTGCGAAATGGCGGCAGAGCGGCTCCTCCAGCCCCTGGCCGGGCCTGCTCCGCCTGTGAGCCGGGGGCGGGCAGCTCCTGGTCGCGGAGGGAAGCCGGGCTGTGTGGGGATCACACTGCTCCGCATTCAGCCTGCTGCGCAGGAGGAAGTGCTGCTGGGAGGGTTGGGCCTGTCGGGAAGTGGAGGATGATGTCAGCGGACTCCGAAAGCTTTGATAAAGGTCTGATTTATCTCTTCCTGGTGCTCAATTTTTAGGCAGCTGTGCTTATTCTAACTCTCTGTTTGTAGCATCACTGCAGAAACTGTGGGGACATCTTCTGCAACACTTGTTCCAGTAATGAACTTGCACTGCCATCGTATCCTAAACCTGTCCGTGTTTGTGATACTTGTCACACTTTGCTACTTCAGCGGTGTTCGTCCAATTCCTCCTAAGGCTTTCGTAACCTTGACAGGACCACTTTAACATTGGAAAAGTAGCCATTATTTTCTTAATTCTGAATTCCAGGCATCTTCTGTGCAGCAGACTGTCTGGTCTCTAGTATTTGCCACTGTAAGACAGAGCAGCGTAAAATAATTCATAGGGATTATGCAAGCTAATGTTTCTCCAACTGGAATAATTAAGAAAATTAAACCAACTGTAATTTCCGTTAGAGTTCTATTTGAAACTAAACTGCAAATTCACTTTTCTGCTTTTTATAGATATTTGTATTAAAATTTGTATATGGCATTTCTATGTTTATTTGATCCCTCTAGACGTCGCTGTCTTTCTGCACGTTAACTTCAGTTCCTCTGTACCTTCACTGTAGGTGCTCCTGTGTGTTTCACGGGTTAGTGTACAGTTTTGTATTTGCTCTAAGTAAAGAGAAGAAAAGTCATGAATTGTCCGTAGAAAGAGCTTTACGACAGGTGTCGATGAACGTGCCTTCAGTTCACTGCGGAGTCACTTGTTCTGAAAGTCGCTGTGACCACGGTATGGTAGTTACACAATAAAAGCCTTTTGCAAAAACTGAAAGCAAGACTGAAGTTCTGATTTCCGACAGCTGTCAGCCACGTATCCCAGAAGAGAATGTTCCTGTACAGCCACGCACGTCGAGGGCTGCAGCTAGAGCTGCTGAAATGCATCTAGAGTAACCGACCAACATGTGCACGCGCACAGTATCCTCCTGGAAGGTGCCAGATAAAGCCAGTGCTCTGCAGAGGCAGCTAACTGCTTCCGTACTTCCCCAGCAAAAAAAGCAGGCAGTGCCTCTGGCTCGCAGGGACACGGCAGGGCAGTTGCTCAGATCCAGCAAAAAAAGCAGGCAGTGCCTCTGGCGCGCAGGGACACGGCAGGGACACTTAGCTGCCTTCACCAGCGAGGCTATTACTGACTCCTGCGTGTCTCTTGCCAATGATGTCATTTTCTCAAGCCCTGAGCAAGGTTGCCCTCAGGGCTGAGGCAGGCTGGTGCACAAGTAGTCTGCAATACACCAGCTCTGCTGCTGTTGCGTCCAGGTAGCAGCTGTCCGGTTACACCTTACTAACAGAGCCAGCCGGGTGAATCCCCAAGAGCGCCCATGCTGCTTGGCCAGTGCCACAGGAGACAGCAGCTCTTCGGCTGAAGGGAGCATGCGATCGCACACAGGCTGTTTCTTTCAAAGGCTTCATTTACAGCAGTACAAACCCCAGTGAGATCCTGCTCTGTCGTTTGGGTCTTCAGTTTCCCCCCAACTCTGCTGGAAGCTCAGCAGGGACACAACTCTTGTATCCAAACCTGCTCCACCCATGATTTGTTACTGCCATCAGCTTCCAGTTCGAAGCAGGTTTTTAAGAGGGCAAGGACACCAGTGGCTGCAGGGTGAAGTGCTCCAGGTTTAACCCTTTCTAGCTCCACTGCTGCAAAACAAGACAGGTTTTTCTTCACTGCAGAAAAGGACCTCAAATGTTTAACCCTTGGGAAGAGCAGGGAATGAGAAAGGGCAAATAAATTTACTGTGGCAAATACATGGAAGCAGATTCCGTATTATTCCAGGGGAGGTTGGTTCCAGTGCTCAAAGCTGTAACAAAGCTGTAACAAAGCTGTTTATAAAACCGCATCTTTCAGCATGATGTTTGACAAGCGGAATTTATTGAAACATGGTTGCACTGAGCTGCAGCACCCACTGGTGCAGCACTTCAGCTCCAAAGGAGAGATGACTACCAGCAAATACAGAATTGCCTTTCTGCCTCCCTCTGCAGCTTTGAGACCACGCCATGACCTTGGTCATGTCACAGCCTTGCAGCATGTCTGGCACCTGCAGGGCTGGTTCTCTTCGCTACCCCCCCATTGTCACCTCAACACCCCCAAGGCCAGCCCTCAGGTGAGGATTCGCCTTAGGAGTAGCCACAATGCTCACGGCAGGTGCATGTTAGAGAACCACGAGCACAGAGGAGACAGGAGCGCAGTGGCACTTCTGCAGGGGTAGCTACACCAGGCAAGCGGGAGGTCAAGAAGGAGTGAGTTCCAGTTTTTAAAAGGAAGATTTATTTAACAAGTTTCACTTAGCGCAATACACCTAAAAAGGAAATCACAATACAATGAAAGATTAAATCAAGGCCTCAGAATTTTATACGAACACCAAGACCAAAATCCTAAAGTAGCCGTATTGCGTCTCAACACGTTTCCCCCATTAACTTAAAAAAAAAGCTTTAACGTGCCTTACAGGATATTAAAAGAAATAAACTAGAACTAACATGCCAAATGTTCACTTTGAATTTCAGACACAGCTCCTAAATCATTTCTTTACAAAAAAGCATGTCTCTTTCAACATGTATTCAAAACAGTGTTGATGTAATATGGTATAAGAGCAACATTTAACGTAATTCAAACAGCTTTAACCTAAATACGCTTACTGCTTAAATACACTCCTACAACAAAACTAACTTGAGAAACGCTCAAAATTGTTTAACAGTTATAGTCTTTACTCAACTTGGTTATTACATCCTAGATGAATGTTCATTTCTGTATGTTCAAAAATACCGAACCTGGAAGGTTTTAAAATAACAATCCTGAATTCACTTACAGTAAAGCATAAATCACAAGCTTGTATTGCAAAACTGTTAAACTTAGTTTTTTGTTTTTTTGTTTTTTAAAAAAGATTTGACCAAAAGTCAGCGATTGGTTACATTCCCCAGCCACCACTCATGTTGGACATGTTCGACATGCCGCCCATGCCATTCACTCCCATGGACGCGCGGTTCCCGCTGCTGTAGTAACTGCTGTTCATGGCGCCCTGGCTCCCGGGGTCTGAGGGGGAAAACCGACAGCAGGTTCACAGCTGGTTCAGGCCGATTCGAAGCAGCATTCCCCCAACGCCTGTCCTTGCTGGGCCACCTCGTAAACACCACCTACTGTGCCCAATACTGCAGAGTGTCAGTTCACAGCTCCATACCCAAAATTAAGTTTATTGGTTGTTCAATGAAAGAGCCAGCTCTGTCTTGCCCTCCTTTTGAACTCAGTGCTTTCTATCACTGTTCCGTGGAAGCGCAGAGCACCCGGCCTCCCACGTACCTTCCCGTTTGTACTCCTGTACTTAAACCAGGTTGGTCTCCAGCTTCCACACTGAGACAATACAAAGTCATCAGAGTAATGGACATCTGGAAACTGGCACTTCCTACCCCTTTCAGAATCATTCCCCGCATTTCCTCCCCTCAGCTCCAAGCTCCTGCACTGAATCTATTCCCCCCTGGTTCTCCATTAGTTCCAAAATTCACAATAGCCCATCTTCAACTTTCAGGGCTCGTGCTGCCCCATCTGCACCATGGCCCTTCAACACCAGTGAGCAGCACCTTAAGGCATACTCGGCCAGCTGCACTTAGCCCAACTAAGAAACAGTGAAGAAATGCTCTTACCATATCCACTCATGCTGCTTTGACCACCATATCCTCCTCCATAACCCCCGCTCAACTGCTGGTTGGCTGGACCACCGTAACTGGATTGGCTTCCTTTCAAGTTAAGGATAAAAACGTTAAGAGCTCACCTGTCAGAAAGTCTGCTCATCATCAACATATCCACCCTTCACCAAACTAACAGCCCCGTACTCTGGCACTAGCTCTCCCTCACCCAGGTAGCTTTCTTCCTCAGTACGGAAGGAAACCAGCTCAAGGCAAGTGATCAGGTTTCTAAAGACATTCCCCTGCAATCAAGGGGCACCACAAACTTGTAAGAATTACAGCAAGTGCTCACGATTCTCAAGCACTTGCTGCAAGGTTTTACCTCTGCCGTTTCTATGCGCTATAGGTAGCAGGGTCAATCTGCTGTTGTATGCAACATACGCCTTGAGAGTCTCAAAGTTGGCTTTAAGTGGCCTCACACGAGAGCGCTGCCCAGGACAGCACCCAGCCCTTTTGGAGGCGTGCCGACTCATTAACCGAGTCACTCGGTCCTATACAGTCCTGACAGACTTACTGCTGTTCCAGACCGGTTGCACATCACAGCAGTGCTACAACAGACTTCTACTTAAGCCTAACTACTGCTCTTCACCTCGTTGCTTGCCTATACTCCCACAAAGCTCTTCTGCAGTTAAAGTATCAGCATTAGACTTCAAACATTTTGTAATCAAAATACTGTAAAAGCAGCTGTGTATCTACACACGCACACCTCCCCCACCCCACTGCCCTCAAGAAACCCCCCCAAAACCAACCACCACCACAGTTTCTGAGAAGCCAGGCAAGCCCGGTATCAAGAAGGGTATCTGCTTTATAGATACAACAGCGGCTTTAGACTTGTGCTGCAAACACATTTTAGATTTTTTCAAACAATTTTGGAGTTTGCTAGAGCAATTCAGACAGTTTCCCCAAATTCCAGATAGATTTTCCCTCACCACCAAGCCCAGGCTTGAATGGCAGGTCCCATGCAACAGATACATCCTCCATCACCAGACTATGTTCTGGTCTCCAAAAAAAAAAGGGAGAGGGAAGGAGAAGAAAGGACAGGCATCTCCCACTCCACTTCCACACCACCGCACTTTCCCAGGAGCCACTCGTCCCACCAGACGCACCACATTCAGCACCACAGCTTATCCAACCTATTCATTGTTTGAATGCATTCCCAAAAGGTTTATATACCTGGCAATGTGCTAGTGTTCCAATCTTGGACTACCCCTTCCGATTCCTTGACTGTGTGATTAAGACAGAATGTTGAATTTCAGTTTTTATGCCAGGCATAGAATAAGCAGGAGCTGTATAAAATCAGCCAGCTTCATTAAATATCAAGTGCTTGTTCAAAAGTGCAGTTAGACTGTTTACACATACCCATTGCTCCCATCATCTGACTGCCATAGGCACCACCACTTCCTCCTGCTGTAGAATTCAAGAAGAGTTCTACATATCTGTGTTCTGGAAAAAGAAAGTTTTGCCGTGAGAGCGTTTCACACCAAACCCACACGCAGTTTGCCTCGCTGCAAGTAAGGCTGCGGTAAAGCCTTTGGCATTCCAGCTACAGCAGATGCACTACACGCAGTGCTGCATTTTCCCTAAAGCCGCGTATTCAGAACAGTCGTACTTACGCATATTTGCTTTGTCTTTGGACATAGCGGCCACTGCATCCTCATGAGTAGCAAATTCAACGTCTGCCTCTCCAGTTACTCTGCCATCCGGTCCGATTTCGATGTGTACTCTTACAGGGTTCAGAGGTGAGAAGAACTACATACGAAACAGTCACACTGATTAAAACGCACCAATGCGACAGTTCGGTTTTACAGCAAGCCATTTTCTCTAAAGGAACGCTCGTTAACTGCGGTGCAGTTGACACATCCAGTAACCATCGCAGCATCTTAAAGCCATGCACTTAACAGCAGATTTGGAACTCACGTTATAGATGTCGTTCTCCGTAGCTCTGTAAGGCAGACCTCTCATGTGGACGCAGTGGCCAGTCGTGCTCTGGAAGGTGGATCCCCCGTCGCCGTATCTGTGGTCCGACATTCCTGCAGAGAAAAGAGTCCATTCTAGGTCTTTCAGATGTATTTTAGTTTCTTTTGAGACGTGTCGAAAGTTCAGTTACTATTCCTATTAGAGAAATCTTACCTCTTCCAAATCTATCAGAACCAAAACCATAGCCATCATTATACCCATTGTAGTCATCATAACCTCCATAACCTATAAATAGATTGGACAACATGTTCATTTCAAGTACGTACACACAAACACACTGCAGACAACTAGCATTAGGAAGTTCCATTTCTTCTAGGAGAAATAAAGCCGAGGACACATACAAACCAGTAGTTACAAAGCAGGGAAGACACTACCAGGTCCAAGTGTTGCTGCTTCTGAGATGAGCAGCTCCCTCTTGGACTCCGTATACTTACCTCCTCCGTAAGCTCCGCGCCTCATTCTTTCCAAGCTACTTCCTCTACCAAGACTGTTATATCCCCGCGTAAGACCAGGTCTGTCGTAAGGACCGGGTCTCTGCATTGCCAACAGCTTGCGTGGAGGGTCGTAGTGAGTGCGCACTTCCGCTCGACTACTCTTGAAGATCTCAATGTACCTAGAAGTGTTTCCACAGGAAGAAGTCAGTCTTTAACGCCTTCCACAAATACCTCACAACTTCACATTAAAACAAGCCATTTAGTCATAGCCTCGAAACTGGCGGCATATTTTAAGCCAGGTTTCTTTACATTATGTAGGCAATGACAGATTATTACAAGCACTACGTTACTTTCAAATCAGTGTATTTTCAAGAAATTACAATTACCGAAGGGTTTACATGCTCCTCATACTCCGCAGTATCCCAGCCTTAAGGGTGGGGGAGCAATATTGATTCCCCACCCTCCTCCCCCCAATTTAAAGTGTTAGTCAAAAAACATAGGAGGGACTGACGTCCGCTCAACTCAGCACTGTGTTGCTCATGTGGCAATGTAAACAGAGGGTTAAAAACCCAGTCTCCACCAAGATTTTAACCCATCAGGATGCTACAAAAAAGCTCTGCATGTGCTAGTGAACCCAGCCTATGCTTCAGCGATTCAGCGTAGGCAAAAAGTGCATGCTTCAATGAAAAATAGTCACAAGTAAAATAGAATAAAAACCCTTTGTGACAATTTCTTGAAAGCTATGCTTATTACATTGAAGATTAATACAGTAAGAAAATTTGTTACATTTCAACTTATAAAACAAGTTTAGAAAGTATCACATTTTCTTATGGTAATGAGAGTACTGTGCATGTCTTTAGAGCTAAAGGCATAATTGGTGCTATTTGAGAAGTTAAAGCCATAGTCTCTCAACTTCATCGCTTTCAAGCTATCAGTTTTGCACTCCTCCAGTGTTACCAAGTTTCCAAAGCACACTCAGGCTTAGCCCAATTTTATCTTTTGTTTTGGGTAGATCCAAACAGTCTGCGTCGCACGCACATTAGCAATACCTTGACTTATCACCGAGTTAAAGACCAAAACACTATTTCTAGTCGGATGTTAACACTTTCAGAAGAGAGAATATGGATTTAATTGTTTACCATAAGAAAAGTGACATAGCCAACCAACCATCCATCCCCACCTGTGCCCTATTCTTTCCTTGTGTTTCTTTAGAGCCTTTTCAGCTATTTCCTGTGAAGCAAACTGCACGAAGGCCTCCCCCGTACTCCTCCCCTGGAAGTCCACCGGCAATGTTATCCCATTTGGCACGATTTCCAACCCTTCAACCCAAGGACAAATAACCCCAGTAGGGGGGCAATATTAACATCACAAGCCCAGTCATGAGTTTTTCTTATAGCTTTAAATACACCAGAATTTTAACACTTGTAAGTGAATGGTATGTTGATTCTAGAACACTAGAAGAAAAAGCATGTCAACAAAAAGAGATCCACGATCACATACCATTCAGTTTACATTCTTAACCCACCCTGCAGAGCACAGAAACGTTCTGAGTGTCACGGACAACTCCTCAGATAAAGCATCTAATGCAGGGTGCATTAAGAAGTTCACATATTATTACAAACCTCTTCAATTCTGTGAAAGTATTTAAGATGAACTTTTTAAGATAACTTAAATTCAAACACAGCAAGTTAAACAGCTTTATATATAACAAGTATTTTTACTAGAAGGCACTCAGGTAAAATAATTAGTCTTACGCAAACATCGAGTTTCAGCATTAATTTTTTTTATCTTTAGGAGTGCTGAATTAAGGAAAAATCATGAGGTAATTTCAAAAGTATTAGTTTCTGAACAGAAGAGGCACATTCTGTATATTAAGCACATTAACAGTTTTTAAAGCTTGAATCACTTAACCACGTAAGAAAGAAACAACTTAAAATGCACATGCTTTGGAATTGCTCTTGTTCACAATACGTTACTGATTCAGAAAACAAAAAACAAGTTCTGAAGTTGCAAAATTGGAAATATTTCTACTGTATTTTAAAGCAAAACAGTAAGCTCAATCGTATCTTGTTACAGCAAAACATTCCAGCTAATTTTAACACTCACATTTAGAAATCTACTACTTTGAAAATACTACCAAGTTAAATCCTAGAAAAATCAATAGATTTCATTCTTAGGCATTTGTAATAGTATTCCAGTTCCTAAAACATACAACAGCTGCAAAAAAGTGAGAATGAGTCAATACAAGACCATAAAAACTTTAAGCTAGATAACATCAAGGGGGGGAGGTTCCCCCCCTAGGAAGGGGAGCAGTGAGGGGGGGAAATCTGTACTTGGGTAGAGTTCAGCAGGTTGTTTTATTCTGGAATCTTATTCAATACTAAATCTATGTTTAAAGAAGTCACAGGCACGATGCATGCCCTTCCTCAGATCCTGCTCCTTGCACTGAGCCCAGCAGTAGGGGTGTTCTACATCCTTCACTGAGCAGTGAGAACCAGCTAGGACTGTGGGTGGAAATATCCTCCCATCTGAATGGTTCACTTTTAATTTAGAAAGCAAGACACTTGTTTTCTGCTATCCTTACTTGGAACAGTATGTCCCGCTAAGTATAAGTTAGAGCAGCTTTTTGGAGTTCCCTCAATTATTTAATAAACATGTACTTTAGGAATTGATCCCTCAAGCCCAGATAACTAATGAAGAATTGCTTATTTACTTTTAATACTCATCAGTATGCTGTTGGAAGTACTACTGGGCAATCCGCGGTGGGTTTTTTGGTTTTTTTTGTTTTGTTTTAACATAGACCAATAGTGCTACAGCTACTACTTTTATCCCACATACCTGAAAAAAACTGCACAATTTCTTCTTTACTACAGCCAAATGGGAGTCCTCTAAGACGTACAAAACCATCATTAGCCGTATCAGGGCTGTTGGGACCAGTATGCTTCAGAACCCAATCCATTTCAACGTTGTTTGACTTGAAAACTGCAAAAGGCACTTAGAATTAATGCATTCTGGAATACACAACAGTTTTAAAAAGCCATTTGCCTCGAAACTAGTCAACTTATGATACACAAGTCCATTTGTCCTTTCACATGCATTTTAGAGACAGAAAAGCAATTAACCAAAAACCCATCAAGCACAAACACATTTAGTCAGTTACTAGACCAACTGAGTCAAACCTTCAACATATCTGTGTCCCATTGTTTCTCTGTCTTTTTTCAGTGCCAATTTCACATCCTCCTCTGATTCAAGTTCAGCAAATGCTTCTCCACTCGGTCTGCCCTCCCTGGTGTAGATGAAACGGATACCCAAAGCCCCATTTAGGATTTTGCAGTCTGAAAAAGAAACAGGAAGGCCAGAATTAATTATTACAAGAACACTGTGATTTCAAAAGTTTCAGATATTCTAAAAGGAAAAAACTAACAACAACTATCAAATTATAGCAAGACAACAACAGCAGCAGTATTCTTGCTATAACTTTTATAGTGACCGATAAACTAAGGGACTAACTAAAATGAAGTTACCCTTCTTGTCAAGTCTGAAGACTAGTAAAACATTAAGAATAAATGCAAATTCGCTATTTTCAAAGCTTTGCTGCCTCAAGTCAAGTTGAATGTGCTACCTGCTTTTGATCGTAACTGACTTAGACTTTGTCATCAGCATGAAGTGAAATAAGGAGATAATCAGTGTAAGCATAATGAACTAAATCAGAACCAAGTCCAATATGCCAAACTCCTGAAGCAGCTTTAAAACCTCTAGCCACTGAAGAAAGCATGGATTTATCACCACTATTTATTACTGCAGGATGCTAATAATTTGCAGGAAGGACACGACACACTAAACACTTAACACAAGAGAGCCTATTAGGACAGCACCAAGAACTATTTATTTCAACCTAAAGCAAGCATTTTGAAGTTTCCTTTAAAACAGAAACTTATCTCTTCTGGCTGCTCAACAAGCCAAGGCAGTTGTGGCTATCCCAGCAACTCACAGACTAAGCTCCTGCGTGTCTAGTTTCTGCTAGCAAAAGCATAGCTTTCCATACTGCATGCTAGCTGAGGCACTCGTTGCATTGCAAACTTCATTGGGTACTGAAGTGCCCCGAATGCTTTCTGGAACTGCTCACTGCAGCATTCCCACTGCCAAAGCATCCCCCAGGAGGAACCCAGAATTGACAACAGAGCCCAGCCCTTCTCCCAGACCTCTATCCCCCCATAGTTCTGCTTACCGGAGAAAAACCTCTGCACCTCCTCAGTGGAGCAGGACCAAGGCAGCCCCCTGACTTTCACCACATATCCCTCGCTGCTCTCCGTGTTGAGCATCACATTGGGGGTGAGGCTCGGCTCCGTCTCAGCTTCTGTAGTTGCTGCGCAAAACCAAAGCAGGCCCTTTGAGACGCCGCACAGCACGGCCGCCACCCGCACCCCCTCAGAGCGCCCGGCGGCCCCCTTGGCCTGTGCCCGCCCACC